CTCTCTCTCTCTCTCTCTCTGCCCCTCCCCAGCTCATGTGCTCTCTGTCTCAAAAATAAACATTTAAGGAAACTTTTAAAAATAAATTAATTAAATATGATAATCACTCATAGACTTGAAAGACCCCTTAGAATCTCCTAACCTGACCCTCCACACAAAGAAACACCTTCTGAGGCTTTTAACAGACAGCTTTTCAGCTTCTAATTGTCTCTGCCTCCAGTGACAAGTTTCTCACTGGCTCTTGTGGAGTTCTTGTTCCTGAGCTGTATAATTTAAAACTTCTTCCCATTTGGATCAAATTTAGTCCCCATGCTTTTGGTGAATTCTTTCTTTTGGAACTTCATAGAACATGTTTCTCTTCTAGAAAGCAACTTTTCAAATATTTCAAGAATCTTTCCGTATTGTCTTTCTCCAAGTACACGCAGTGCCTTAACTTTCTCTCAGGTGATACCATTTATAGACCCTTGACCTTTCCGTTACATACATTCTTAAATATCTGGCTATTACATGTTTTCTGTTTTCTCTCTGATAGAACTTCAGTGTGACATGATCACTCTCTCCAAGATGGTTCATTTGTTTGTTTAAGTTTATCGGTTTATTGGGGCGCCAGGGTGGCTCAGTCGGTCAAGTGTCGACTTCGGCTCAGGTCGTGATCTTATAGTTCGTGAGTTCTAGCTCCACTTTGGGCTCACTGCTCTCTGCACAGAGCCTGCTTCGGATCTGCTCTTGCCCTCTCTCTTTACCCCTCCCCTGCATGTGCATGCACTCTCTCTCACAAAAATGAATAAACATTTAAAAATAATGATAAAGTTTATTTAGAGAGAGAGCACTCCAGCAGAGGAGGGGCAGAGAGAGAATCCCAAGCAGGCTCCATGCTGTCAGCACAGAGTCCAACATAGGGCTGGAACTCACAAACCATGAAATCATAACTTGAGCCGAAGTCAACAAACGCTTAACTGACTGAGCCATCCAGGTGCCCCCAAGGTGTTTTTTCTTTTCCTCTCATCAGCCTTCTTCCTTGTTAACAACAATTAAATGTGTATTTCTTATGGTATCTCTTGCACACGGAGATATTAAACAATCACTAAAGACATTTATTAAATGCTTTCCTTTAGGAGAGTCATTCGTAGTAGAGTGGCCAGCCACATGACTACTCTGGCTTGCTTTTATACCAGCCTCAGGGAGTGTTTAACATCATTTTATAACTTCCCTCCAGCTAAGCAATGGCCTTTCCAGGGCTTTTTGCTTTTTTTAGTAATCCAAATGTATCCTGTTATAATTCTGTCAGATTCATGGATATCTATAGTTCGTTCTGGTCTATAGAAATGATTTCAGAGGTGCCTGGGTGGCTCAGTTGGTTAAGCATCTGACTTCAG